AATTTGACAAAAAATATAATTAAGAAATTCAAAGTAATTAAGATAACACAACCTTTATTTTATAATTTTTAATAAAAATTTAATAATATAGTTGGTTGACCATTTTTAATAATATTAGAAACCACCAACCGCCCCATTATAGATGGCTTGGTTGAAATTTTCGACCTGATCCAGTGGGTTGGTTAAAAATTTATTACATGCCTACAAAATATGGTCGGTAATAGATCGGTTAGCCTAGTCCCAACCCTAGTTATAGCAAATTTTGCACCCTCACAATCTACCATAGAACTCAATTCACTCGATCGTTATCTCATCCGATGCCAGATCTAGGGTCGGCGTAGATGGACAAGTGATTGAAAAAATATTAAAAAAAAAGAGAGAGAGAATTGAAAATTTATATTTTTGTTGATGCCGAATTGTATTCCTAATAGGGTTAATTACATTTGTTTATATAAATAATTTCTAAGGTAGCATTTTCTATTTTTAGAGCTTCTTAATCGTGTAAGATTTGATGATGATTATATGATTTCCTTGTGGAATATCATATTTTCGTTTAATTAATTATCGAGAAGATTCGCAATCCTAGTCTTCCAATAATCTTGAGTTCAGCTCGCTACCTACCGCGCGCCTCCTTTGTTCTCTTCTCAGGCGTACTAGGGACAAAAGACCGGAGTCTTCAGTTACTTGCAGCAAGACTCATGTTTCTGAATGAGCAGAGTTGGGAGGCGCACACGTGTCTTAAATGCACTATATATATACTCTCACTCTCCTTCTTCGTTCACCTCTCCGATTTTCTACTTGGGTCAATTCTATGTTGGTCTGGTTTTCCCAGTTCACCTATATTTAATTTTATTGCGGTATCTAAAAAATACGAAATTCTTCTGAACCAATTCCACCCAAACTCCATTCGTTTCATGTTGCTCTTATGGTGCGTTTTGTCCTGGCAAAACATAGAACCCACTGTCGACCGCCTCTTCGCTTGTTTTATAGCTAATCAGTATACCCTTGCATGTTTTATCTTTCTGCTCGGGCGAACACCAAATTCATCGTTAAATACCCAAACAAAGTACATCACTTGGATCGCTTCTACTTTTACGTAATTCCCAAACACCCCTTCGGATTCTCCACTACTATGATTGAACAAACTCCCATTTTTGATACGCCTTAGTTGGACGATGAACAAAAAACCGTTATAGATTACCAACGATCCGGGTGTTTTTATGTGGAAATTTAACCCACCTGGTCCGGTCCGACTCGGTCTGGTCTTACCCGATCCATTTTTTAATTTTTGATTTTTTTTTTAATTTTTATCTTCAGGCGATGGCATGTGTTGTCGAAACTCTGGTTAGCTGACTCAACATTAGTTAACTTTAACATTAGTTGACATTCCATTTTTTTTTCTTTTAACTTTTTTCCCGGCAGTAGGTCGTCGTAGCTCTGGTTAGTTGACTCAACATTAGTTTACTTCAACATTAGTTAACCTTAACATTAGTTGACATCTCATTTTTACTCTTATCTTTTTTATTCTTGTTTTGTTCTCCGACTTCGGATGTCGGAGGTCTGATAGATGACTTGCATTAGTTAAGTTCGCACTATCCGACCTTTTTTTTCTCCGATGGCGAATCATCGGAGCTACAACATCACTAAAAAAGTCGGGGGTCAATGCTTAATGAGCTAAAAGAAAAAAAATGTTGGATGTCAGCTAATGCAAAGTCAGGTAATGCGAACTCAACTAATGCATAATCAGTTAAATAGAGCTCCGAAGTCCCGTTGCCGGAAAAAAAAAGTTAAAAGAAAAAAAAATAGACGTCAACTAATGTTGAAGTCAGCTAATGGCGTAATCAGCTAATGCAAATCAACTAATCACAGCTCCGACGACCCAATCCCGGAAAACAAAAAATAATAATAATAAAAAAAAAAGATAAAAAAAAAAGAAATGTCTACTAATTTTGAAGTTAACTAATGGTAAATCAGCTAACCGAAGCTCCGATCACCCAGACCACAACTGGAAAAGCAATCTAAAAAAAGAGTTAATAATTAAAATAAATAAGATAAAACAAGCCCAAATTAGAGTTTGAAAATGATATAAACTTATTATTTCTGTTTATACGAAATGAAACTTACAACAAATAAGTTTATTTCCTGAAAATATAAAAAAGTTTAGGCTTATCCTATATTATTTAGGTTAGTGAGTGGCTATCACAAATAAACCATATATTTAATTGGGAAAATAAAATATTGTTTTAATGGAATTAAAGAAATAAAATCAATTTATTTAGGTATCATCAACCAAGACATCATAAGCTTATCAAAAAAAAAAAAAAAACCAAGACATCATAAGAATAACCCTAGACTTCGTTTTTTCCATACTGGAAAATTCAGAGATTAAAAGTAGAATCACAGCAGGAAACCCCCTCTCTCTCTCTCTCTCGCTCTCTCTCTCTCTCCTCCCATATGCAGTACACAGACATGAAGTTGAAGAACACCTCGGCCCCATTATCTTTAGGTATTTGTGTAATTAGTGTCTTATTTTTCATTCTCGTTTTTCTTCCTCTTGACGTTTTCTATATATGAATTGGGAATAAAGGAAAATATATATATATATATATTTACACTGACAGAATCAAGAACGAGTGTTTGCAAGAAAGAGCCCCTTTCGCCTTCTATGGAGAAACCTACCTGGAAAGGTATCAATCACTTTAATATACAGCAACACCTCTTAGTTTTTTTTCCCTCGATCGATGAATTTCAGAGGAACTAACTGTAGATTGAAATTAAGTCCCTATATGTATCAGACTATCAGTAACACAATATTTGTTTACAAGAATCAAGAGTGAGATGTAAGGAAACATTAACATTAGGGTTTCTTACAACAAATTAACATGGAAAATACATGACACAATATTTTATGTTGAAAGTTGAAACTCTTTGGGGAAAAAAAAAAACTACCTGGGAAAGAAAGAATTTGAAAGTATATCAGATATTAATAAAAATAAAAAAAATAAAAACAATATTTGCATTAAATTTGTCGTAAGAATCGTAGCTATTACCTCTTTGAAATTGTCGTAATAATATATATTGTCTTAAGGACATTGCTTTTGCAAGCCTCAGTAGATTTGTCGTTCTTCGTATGTCCGGTTAATTTCTACTTCCAAACGAGTACAATTTTTTATCAATCATTTACGCAGATTGTTATTTGGTACCAACAATCTTAAGACAATATATATAGTTTTCCGTTATTTAATTTTCTGCGTAATATTTCTACTTTGGAAACTTGTGAATAAACAATTTCTGCTATTGCGTGAATTCAAAGTATTTGTATGAGAATTTAGGTTTCAAAGTATCGGTGGAAATAAATTCGGTATTTTCATTTATAGTTAACGTTGCAGAAGTCTGGTTGCATATATAAGTTTAATAAAATTTATATATGTTAGTGGGAACAAGAGATTTTCTGTTTTCATACTGGTTTGGCAATAGAATTTTCTGGGTAAATAAAATAGAAATTTGTGTTTGAAAAATAGTTCAATCATCTGATATTTCTGGGGTAGATATATTATTTTATATCACATTTTCGTGAATAATTTTATTTATTAAACAATTTCATGTGTTGACAGAATATTATATTTTTTGTAATTTCAGTAAATTTTCCAAATCAATATGGTTAAAAAATTTTGTGAAAAGTTTGGTTGAGTGATTTAAAAAAAAAAAAAAAAAAAGTGTGTATAGTACATAATATTTGGGCACAATTGGTGCATGTCCTTTGTACAAAATCAGAGTGGTCGCATTGTTTATGTAAATCAGAGTATGTACAATCTCTATGATAACAAATCAGATTCTGTGTTACCATCTTGTGAGAATTCTATCAAAATATATATATATATATATATATATATATATATATATATATATATATATATACTTTCCGAGTATTTATATTAAAAAAAAAATATCAAATTTGCGTCTAAACATTTCGGACTTAACTTTTCAAGATGTACTTTTTCAGATGTAACATTTTGAGAAGCGTTTATTATATTGTCGGAATCAAGTGTGATGATGTTAGGATTAGATCACCTAAAATAACTGAAGTAGGATGAATTGGGAGAGCAAAGTGGATCACTGACTCACGTGCTTGATGATCTTGAGACTCCTCCGACGCTCAAGTCATACGTGCGGATAATAGACATAGTTGAGAGAATACGAGTAGTTGAATTGCTGGAATAATAGAACGTAGCGAAACAAATGAGTCTAAACCGTTTTTTATACCTCGTTGATTGGGCTGAAGTTTAATTAATTGAGGTTGCCGAGCCTAAACCTTATCTAAAGGCGATTGAGCCTTCATAGTGGTGGGCTCGTGGCCCAGTATGTTAAGAAATTGTAGGCCCATTGAGCTGGCCCAGTTAGGCGTATCATTAAGTCCTCCACTCTCGAGTCGATGTGGAACCCAAATCGAATGGGGTCCCGGATCGTGTCGAGAGTAGATCGTTGTTGGAGTTTTGTGGTAGTTGCTATTGAGGAATAATAATAATTATACATCATGATAAATTACAACCACCCTTGAGTTATGGTCCAATTATGAAAACCCTCATTCTGTTTGGGTAATTACAATCACCCACCTCAACTATAATTTTTTTTCACACGTCCAGCCTTGCGGTTTCAAATTCAGTGAAATCTTCTAGATTATATGGAATACTATCACTTTTGTATCCGTTTTATCCCATTCGAGCTCCACATTTTGAAGCGAGATGGTCATACAATGTGTTTTTTGGCTTGTATATATCAGATTGTGGTGCATCATAAACTGCAATTTTGCATAAAACAAGTACAAATTAGATCACATTACACGGAATCTAGATGATTATGCTGAATTTGATACCATTAAGATGGACGTATATGAAGATTCATAGTTGAGGCAGGCAGATGTAATTATCCAAACATGAGGAGATTTTTCGTAATTTGACCATACCTCAGGGGTGATTGTAATTTACTCTCTATATTATTATTCCCCTTCTTTTATTTTTTTTATGCTTTCTTTCTTAAGGATATATATTTATGAGTCTTAAATATAAGATCCATGTAAAATAAAGTGATTCCCGTCTGAGGTGAAGAGCAACAATTTAATAAATTTTGCTCGGGAGTATTATGGGTAAGTAGATGTCTTCTTCAACATACTTTTATTTTATTTTTGCGATATAATATGTGGTAGGATATAGTATTTTTCTCTGGCTAAGTCATTCGTCAGATAAAAAATATTTATCATGAACGACGCGGAAAAATCCAAACAAAATCAGATTAAACTGTGAGAGGGAGCGGAGAGGCACGAGAATGCCTGGCGAAACTGTAGACATGGAGATTGATTTGGGATCCGAGAGTCGAGGTTATAACGGAAAATATATGAGACTTTCAATATAACGGAGAACATGGCGAAGCGGATCAGAGAGTCGAGGTTGTGAGATGTAGAGTTTGATCCGAAGCATCTGATTTCGGATGGTTATCGACGTATATCTTTTAGTGTAGTTGAATGTTACTGTGTTGCTTTCATGTGTGTACTTTCATGTGTGTACTTAGAATTGTTTATGTTTGATGCTATATTATTCATTGTTATTAATTTTTGACTGTCATGTGCAGCTGTTTGCATTGATTTCGCGGCACTTCGGGCCAAGGCGAATGGAGTTTCGAAGAAGCAGTTGAAGAAAGCTCGCGCTAAGCAAGGGAGGTCACGGGAGGGGATTCGTGTCGAGACTCCTCACGTAAGTGGAGATGGTCGTAGCCATGGTGGCGAGCGAGAGGTGCACGATCCTGTGGATGGCAACGGGAAGGGCAAGACGGTGGAGACTGAGTACGTGGCTGCACCGAAGCGCCCACGTGTAGATCCGGAAGTGCCTTATGCTTTTCACAGTGGGGGAGACAACCAATTGTTCACTTATGGAGTGAACCGGGATGGGAAGGAGTCCCTGTGGGACTTAGCGGATCATAGATTGGCGATGAAGAAGACCGAGGGTTTTATTGGAGAGTATGATCGTGGTCGAATGTCCGCCAATGGTCGCGCTCATATGCTTGCTTTGCTTGGTGGAGACATTTGTCGGGTAAGTGATTGCTTTAATTGGATGTTCATTTCCATTCAATCATTGTGCCTGTGTAATCATTTGTTTATATTTCAATGTAGGTACTAGCTATTTGGAGGTTCCTCATGGAAGCGCAGGCGAAGGAGGGGGAGGAGCGCGCTCGTCGTGTGGCGAATGAGATGGAACTACGTGCCCAACATGAGGCGGTTCAATTGGAGCTCACTCAGAAGGAACATGATCTCAAGGTCAGTAGACGTGAGGTTGAGGAGCTCAACAGGTGCTATGACTTGCTGAAGGAGAAGTATGAGACTGAGAAGAAGACGGGAAAGATGTTTCTTGCCACGTCTGGAGGGGCTGCCTACAGGGAGGTAGTCGCAAAGGAGGCGGAGCGTCGCTTCGTAGAGAGTGAGATCTGTCGAGCTATGATCGAGGAGAAGGCGATAGCGGCGGT